AAACCCACACCCAACCCCAAACCCAACCCCAACCCCAACCCCAAAAAAGAAAAAAAACACTAATGGTCTAAGGATCTTCTATCCTGAAATAGAAGAACAGGAACCCTAACCTGTTAAATTGGGTTTATGATTCATTATTAAGATCCCCACACATTATTATTATTATTATTAATAATAAACAATTATACCTATATTATAAAATAAATATCTAATAAAAATACTATTCTAAATAAAATGATTTTACTAATGCAATTTTTTAAATCATAACATACTTTGTAATTATATTTAATTCAGTAATGTTTTTAATGGATACTCCTTCTGCTGAAGACTAAATTGAATTTATCAACTTAATAAATCGATTACTTTTAATCTATGATAAAATTCAAGCCACTTTAAAGATAATTGCTTTAGTAAGTTCTTGTCAACTTAATAAATCTAAATCAATTAAACAATAGTCAACAATAACACTTTATAATTGTAAACTCCTATTAATATCTCAATTATTCAGATACCTTTTTATTCATATTATCCAATATAATATTTTAAAGAATACAATAGTAACCTTTATGAATGTAAAATCCCATTATCATTATCAACAGATAAAATTTGTGATGATAATTGGTTTTCAAATTCACCAACATGTGGATTCTAATATTCAGAAAAAAATATAATTTAAGATAGTCAAGTTTTTTATTGTTCTTGTAATTCTAAAGACTTAATCTAATAAAATGATGATCTAATCAGAGATAATATAATCTCCTCTTTGGTATAGGTATCTTATTTATATATTATTAAGCTCTTACAAAATATCTCAATTTATAATCTAGTACAATATTACTATTTCCATAAGCTATTCACTTAATCTTACTCAATAGTTCAATTTAGGATCTGAAATATAGGAGTAGAAAGACTAAAACATTTTTGCTAAAATTGTTTCTGGTTTTAGCCCATAATAATAACCACCTGTTTTGGAAAATCTATATTTCATGAAACCAAGTTTACTAATTAATCATAATGGAGTTTAAATTGGATCAGAAGCTTATATGCCTATACCATAAGAATTAGTAGGATAAGGCGATTGCAATAAAATTGGTGTATCATATTCTTCTTTTAAAAATTAAACATAGAAATGTAAAATACTTATGCAATCTTGTTTATAAAATCAAATAGAAGATTTATATCAAAATGATCTAGAATTAATTGCTAACAATTCTTAACCTTAATATTTGATTTTTAAATATGGATAATTTAAATAAACTAACATAAATGATGACTTATTCCTCTAATTTACCTTCGATGAATCAATGACTACATCTATTGAATTATTTATCAATAATGCAAATGATATTACATATATTAAAGATATTAAAGAAAGTGAGAAAGGTTAAATAGATTTAGTTGAAATTCACAATTTTTCAGCTGCATCAGGTTTTGGTTCATTGTATGCTTAAATAACAAATATTGGTGAAATCTTTCTTAATTGCTTTAATAATACTCAAACAATCTATTCTACAGATCTTTCTTTAGACCCTTAGAAAAGTAAAATAGTTTAATAAGACATAAATTTTTCGACTCAAATCAGAGAATCAAATTCATGTAATTTTAGTTTATTAAATAATGAAGGATCCCATTTAGATTGGAAAACTATTTATTTTGATGAATTAAATGATAACAATCAAAAAAGCAATTCATCTTTTAATTTTAAAGAAAATACCTGTGATTCAAAATGCTCTCCATTTTTTGATATCTATTGCTATTTTCAATATAAATGTGAATCTTATATTATCACATTTTTTACTGTTTTAAGTGGAATTTTTATTACAATCTGTTTTTGTTGTATATATTTAGGATACAAAAAGAAATTGAGTTGTTGTTAGTTTAAAAAATAATTATAAAACAACACCTCCCCTTTAGAGAGTTTTTTGTACTAGTAAAATAAAGAATTGAAAAGAAGAATTAAATTATCAGATTCATATTAAGAATCATATTGTTAATAGTAAATATTGATATTGTCTGTGTCGTAAGATGAAGTGATGTATTTAAATTTAGCTTTAGGGACAGATCCAATTTTTAATGAACTCTAATGAGATGCATCATTTGAAGTATTGGAAACATATTAGAAGAAAGAGCTTATAAAATTATCAGTTAAAAGAAACAGTTAATTTGTAAAAGTATTTAAATAGATTTATGGTTTATAAAACATAGAAAGAATGTAAAAAAATACTTAGCAGTAAAGGTTGAACCAATATCTTTATTTAGTAGTTTATTGACAGAATTTCCACTGTTTACAATATATTGAAGAAAATCAATAAGTTTGTATTATTATATTGTTCATAAATAGATTGTTTCATTGATGCCATTATCAGATAGTCTCATTAATAGCCTTTTCAAATTATTTTTATAAATCTTCATATAGGATGCTGCTTTTAAACTTATCTCTATCTGAAGCAGATACTTAAAATTAATAAATTTTATTTCTAATAACTTTGATTTCTTATTTTAGAGTTTCAGTATACTCTTTAATAACTTATTCACTTTTTTTTTATTCTAATCCTTCAAATAAATATTAGAGTAATCTTCTCACATTAGAATAAACTTTTCTGAATTCTGCATAAAATTCTTTTTCTCTCTTCTTATCTTCTAATATAGCACTACTAGAGATCTTGAAACTCTATTTATAGTCTTCTTTGATTGCTGAATAGATGTCAACCTCTTTTTGTAATATTATGATTAAAATTACTATTAAATTTTTTGTCATAATCAAATGTATTAATCTATTGAAGAATATAATTGCGATCTCTTTCCCATTCAAAATTAGTTTGATATTACTTCTCTATAAGAGGGACTACTTTATTAGTTTTCTTGACTTTAGATATTGGTTGTTCATCAAGTTGAACTCCATCATTTTCTAATTCAATTTAGCCAACAATTGATGGGTCTATTAGTTTTTTGATCTTAATTATGAGATACATATTTTTACAAATCACTTCTTCATTTATTGGATCTTACTACATTGTTTTAGATCCGGTAATTGCTATATTTATATTAATTTAAATAATTAACCTATAGCTCCTTCATCATAATTGTAATCATTTACTAAATTCATATTTTATTGTTCTAATTTATATTTAGCTAATACTTACTTGAAAGGTCATCGATTTTTTCAATCCAAATGTCTTTTTATATTATTTTCCTAAATCTTTATTAATTAATTATTATTCATATTTATTTATAAATGACTAAATATAAGACTATGTTTTAAAATGCTTTTTACATTTTCATATTTATTTGCTTAATTTAATTCTCTACTCTTGATCTTTTTTGGAGGTCGATTTCTCATATATGGATTCTAATCTTATTCTGTATTCAGTTTAATATCATTTATTAATTGTATTTATTCTGTATATTTAACTTTTAATTTAATTTTATATAAGTTATTCACATGAAGCATATCACTTAATTATATTCTTTAATTTATTGAAGGAACTATTCATTGATAAATTCACCAATTAATATTGATTTAGAAATGATGGTAATCATTGATGAACATTGATATATCATAATAATATTGCCTTAATCTCTCTTTTATTTTTATATTTAGAAGAGATATCAAATAAGCTAACACATTATACCAAAACTATTATTGTGATTT